AGCCTCTTTTTATAATACTATACCTTTAATATAATACTATAGTGTTCCTTAAGGTATAGACTAGTGATTTACTATCTTTTATATACTTATACTACTAATTACGTCTTAAATAGTATTTTAAAGGTCTTATTTAGTGTATTAACTTATAATAACTTAATAGTAAAAAAATAATAATTATTAGATTTTTTAGGCGCTAAAAAACGCGCTTCTAATAAGGGAGGTTTATCGTGGAAAATGAAGAGGTTAGGTGGCTCAAAAGGGGGTGTGGCTCAGAAGTGGGTGGCCGACGTTATTGCTCGAGACCCCAGCTACATACTGTAGTAGTGGCGCAGTTGCGGGAATAGAGATGCGTCGACCACCAAACCAGGAGCGCAAAATTCCAACAGACTCTTCTATAGAAAACCAATACAGCATACGTAACATTAATCGTGCATTGCGCAGGAAGTCATCGAGTAGCAGGAACTAGTGCGATAATTACCTTAGATTAACTCGACGCCGCACGATTTGCCTGCGAGCTCTTGTGCGCCACCGCCCCCCCATTTGCTTCCAAAGGCAGATCCTCACCGGGTATATCGCCGCAGCCCTAGCGGTCCACCTTGGGGACCCTGACGAATGCAAAGTCCAGAATCAGGCCGACGGCTGCCGAGGCCGCGCTCTAGTACAGCGCAACCTTGAAGCCAGACATGATGGATTCCATGGTTTCGGCGGCGCCTGCCAGCGACGACTTCGACATTTTACCCACCTCCACCTCGATCGTACCGGCGAATCCTAGCCCCAAGCTGATGCCGTACAGGTTGACTTTGCCGTCGAGGCTGCTAGCGATGCCGTGGTGGTTGCGCGTTACGCTGTTGCTGGCAATGAGTTGCGCAGCCAGGTACACAAGTCGGGGCAGCAGCCGCACAGCAGCATGGCGGGGAAAACTTGCATCCAATACGTCTGCTGCATCGGCGTAGTGGCAAGGAGAAGACCGGCACCGATGAATGTGACAACGCCAACCGCCATGACCAGCTTCACCTCGACCTGGGGGAGGAGATAGGGGGCAAGACCGACGGCGGCGGTGGAAGCGAGCCCAAACGGGATCAGGTTCACGGCAATCTGAAGAACAGATAGCTGTCGCAGAGTCTGCTGCCAGGAAATCGAGTACCAGAGGGCAATGCCGAATGACATGTAGCTAAAGAGAACGACAAAGACCATGGCGAGGAAGTTTGCGCAAGGAAGATGTGGAGCCGCATGATAGGTTCCGAGGCAACATAGTGTTCCTACAATAGGAATGCGACAAAGACAACAACGGACACAGTCAGAATAGCAATTTCAGAGGGCACCAACTATCCGATAGCAGGTGCTTGACTGCTCGGGTTAGCGACTGGGAACCGTAGACGAGCCCGAGGGTCGTGCTGAAGCCAACAAAAACTTACCTCCAGGCAATGTTGAAGAGTAGTAAATCTGACAGACCCAGACAGGCTCCAAACGTGTCAAGCTTTCCTCTCAGGTCGACCGGGTGCTTTTCTGGTAGAATGACAGCCAGGACGATGCAGCTAGTCATAGAGATGACACCCCTGTTTACCGCGTCAGCATAGTGTATATATTGTCCTCTTTTACGATATCTCTCGTGTGATGCAGAGAACCTACAATGCGCCAAAGAGAACAGTACAACTCCACATTCCCTCCTATTCTTCACAGAGACCAGCAAACAAAGCTCCCACAAGACCACCCAGAGGCGGTGCCGCGGCAAAGATTCCGTACAGCAAAGTTCTTGTCGGCCCGGGCGGCACCATCAACCCCAACGCTGTGATGGCATTGGGCATGTAGATGCCGCCGCCAATTCCACTCAGAGCTCGAGCAGCAAAAAACGGCGCAAAGCTGCGGCAAAGTCCATTCACAATGGAAAAGATGCCAAACATTCCCAGGCCGACGAGTGAAAGGCGCTGATGTCCGTAGATGGCGCCCAACCGACCAGAGACCATAACAAATTTGCTCTGTGTAATGCTGCAAAGAGTAGCAGTGACGGGCCAGTAAAAGCAATTAAATGGAATGATCTCTGTTTCATTCCGCTGTAGATTAAGGGAAAGGGGAACCAACGAATACGAGGCTGCCATCCCGTTGGCCTTGCCAGGTCCAGTCTCTCGGCCCCGTGTGTAAGTGTGATGCCACCGCTAAGAGTGATGAAAGTAGAGATCAACTAAGAGAATTTTAATACATCGTCAGCCTGTTACGGTATGAAAGAATTCCCTCTAAGGCAATACACTCACATGAACTAGGCATGTAGTAACGAACAAGGTGATCATAATGGCCCTCGTGTCATCACTTACACCTGTCATCAAGACGGGTTCAATCACGTCAAAGACGGCAGAAGGCCAGACTGAACGCACTTCAGATGCATCAGACAAGCCAGCCGGCTCACTGGGCGGCATTGGCGAGTCGGTGCCTCTGGGTCCTACCCGGCCCGTCCACTCAGGATGGAAGCTGTCGACATCGCGGGAATGGGCCTGGCTAGCCGATTTAGTGCAACCCTCTCCTGGCGGCTGATTCACAGTCCGAGAAGCCATGCGCCGTAGGGTGACGCCGTGTTTCGAAACGACAGTCTGGCATGTATCGGGGTTCGTTTGCACGCGCTGGTTAGAAGGGAAACACTGCTGTGACGATCTCAGATGTAGGTGAGAGCGCACAAGGCTCTACTAAGTTCTTAGCCGTGCAACTAATAGGTTCTACGAAGACCTAACTCGTGTTTGCCGTCCGGATCGGAAGAATTTCGCGCCCATAGGATCGATCGTCCTGGCCTGCATTCCCGTGGCGGATAGCATATCTGGACAACATTAGCCTGTTGCCGATAAGGATGCGGTTAGAGGCACTATGTCACGGCTTTCTTTATTTACTACACTATTCTATAGTAGCTTTAAAGAGGAGGAACCAGTATAATAAGTCCTTAACTTATATACTTCCTCTTATATAGACTTTTATTATAGAGTTATTTTAATTAATAATTCTAGAAATAGATTAAAAATTAAAATATAATATTAATAAAGTATTTTATAACTTCTTTTTTTATTAATTTAATTAACTTAAAATAAACCTTTATATAATAGTAGCTTAATACTTAATCTATAGTTAGTCTATTTCTTAAGAAAAGAGTTAGATAAAAGTATAAAAGTATAAATAAAGAATATTATAGTATAAGTTATATTTAAAAAATATCTCCTAATAGTAGAACTATTATTTAGATTAATTAATAGAGATTTTTAGTCTAACTATTTATTAAACCCGTCTTTATATATTTACTTTTTTCTATTATAATACTTAAATTACTATAGCTTACTTATAGGCCTAGTAATCCTAGATTAGTACTAGATTACTATAATCTCTAATAATCTAGTTATATAACTAGCTCTTTTATTCTTTTACTCTTATAAGCGCCCTATAGTTACTCTTTAGACTACTCTACTCTTTATCTACTATATTTTAGTGTGTTTATAATAATTAAGCTATAAATAGTTATATATACAGAAGTAACTATAAAGAAGTAGGATTATAGTAAAGAACTACTAGAGGGGGAATTTTTAGTAAAAAACTACTAGAGGGGGAATTTTCTCTTAGGGTTATTAATAGAGTTATTATTAATAATATTACTACTTTTTATTAAACCCTTTATAGCTACTTCCTTACTATCTTCCCCTCTACCTTCTTTGTGCTAGCCGCGCTCTTTGATAAATAGTAGCTACTGAGGATATGTATATAAGTCCTCGTCTTGAGCCCATAGCCACATCTGACTCGCGTCAGCAAGACCAGAGTCCATCAACACGGAGATACTTCCATCCCAATTCAAGCCCTCCAGAGACTCGCCAACAGACAGCTCTGGAACAGCGGCGGAAGTGAAAGCATCGTCGGCAGTACTCTGGGGCAGCTCTGTTGCCGTTTCTTGATTTATTTGCACAGATCCTGAAATTTCAATTAGTTTGACTTTTTTTGTGGCGAGGAAGTTTTATCAAGATACCGAGCGACAGAAAATTCGGTGTGCTTTCGACCGTAGAGCTGTTTACAGCGGGCATTTCATCGTGTCTTGTGCTATCTGCCACTTGTGCAGACGCAAGTGCTCTGCCCGTAATTAGCTTGCTTTCATGTTGCAGAATCACAGCTACGAGGCGCTCGAGAACGGCAATGCTCTGTCGGGACGCAATATTTTGAGGGTTTGACGAGACCTCGCAGGCGTGAATGAGATGCATGACACCGTTTTTCGCTCTTTGGCTTGCGCCTGATAGCGGCTGTGACAGGCTCACAAGACAAAGTACGATTCCCGCTGTGAATAGTGTAATCCCAATATGCATGTTCGCGTGTGTGCTCCGGAGACCCCGCAGCGAGTTTGGAAATCGATGTAGGCTCGAGGTCCTCGTTGCCGCTTCGATCAAGTGCTCTAAAGAGTAGAGACCTTCTGGAGTCGTCTGAATCTTGCTGCCCTGTCCGAAGGCAGCTGTGCGGTGCAAAATGATATGTAGATTGTCATACGTCAGCTGCAGGGCGAGTGCCTGCATTTGATATATTGAAGGCTCTTGACCTGGTGCCGCGTCGGTGTATGTATCAATCTGTAATTGACTGGGTAGTTGTTCCTTCCAACGCGTTAGCTTATCATGGATAGTTCTGACCGTTGTTGTTTGATCCGTCCGTCGGCGGCGGCCCAGAAACTGCCCCGTGATTCGATAAAGGCGGAACTTCCACTTGTGAAATAACAGACGAGTATCTAAGTCCTCGTCACCCTGGGATGGTTGTCCTAGATTGGAGACCATACCCACGCTGCAGTCTGAGTCATCCACGATACACGGCCGTCCGAAAGCAATCGCGGTATACCTTGCAGATACATCCGTCTTAGTGATGGGTCCGAATCGAATACAGCAACCAAGAATCTTAAGTGCTTACTTATCGAACACCTCGAGAGCCCACCAAGTACGCCGTCTTGTCTCCGTCTCGGCTGCAGAGCAATCTCTCCACAAGTTTTCGCGGTGCAGATTGATGACCTGCGCAATCTTGACGCCTGCCGCAGATATTCCCAGTCCAACGTTGGGCCGGCCGCTAAACAACAGGAAGCTTCCCATGAGAATAGATATCTGGACTGCTTCTAGCGTTGCGCAGCCAAGGAACTGCAAGAACCGTGTCTCGATTTGCATTATGATGCAGGCTGTGAGCTGCCTCAACTCGAGCTGGGACGGAGTATGAGCCTGTGAAATGGACGTGTAATGTGCCCCTAGTGCCACTACGAGCATGCAGAGCCATAGGAAATTTTCCTCGTGGTAAGCGACGTGGCTGGAGCCGAGAAGCTTTGCAAACCGTTCCCGAAACAGCTGCTCGTGAAATACCTACCAGATAATGAGCCAATCGTGGGTAGACTTTCTGCGCATGAGCGACATACCATTATAAACCAATCAACCGATACAAAGAACTTGTCCACGAACTGTTCCAGGATGAGATCATCTGGGAGCTGCAGGGCGACGATTTGTCGCCAATGCGGACGGCCCAGCCGCTCCGGTCCGATTAGCTTGTTTCCCCCCGGTAATGCAGATGTATCTTGATGGAGCGAAGACCCAAGGCTCATTTTTGAGAGCACCTGCTTTGGTATCAGCCGGAAAGAACGGAATCAGGGTGTGCTCATCCGCACACACCAGAGCGGTCAAATCAACGATGCTGGAGTCTGGCATCACTAAATCATCGCCAGGACTCGTCTTCGAAGCTGTGTCACTACTTGGGATATGGTCTAGTGATGAAGGCTCTGCGTCCGTCGTAGGCCGTTTTGCAGTTGACGAGGCAGAATCTGCGGCACCTATGTTCCTAGGCACGCATTCCGCGCCGGCCCGCACACAAAGCTGGCAGGGGCGCTCGCGGTCACACTGCACATTCAATCAGTCTCTAAGTTTAAATGTTCCATTTCCATCGCCGGATAGTGGCGGAAGGGAACGGGCGTCGTATAGTCAGATGCTAACCTACCCCCAGCTTGCGTTTTCGACAGCGCTCGCATGCTGAAGCAACCTTTTGCCGCTTGCGAGTTGCATTCATGCTGAGAAACCAAGTGTACCAAGTTAAGGTTGCGAAAGGTGCAGTATCGAGCAGGGCCAAACATTGCCATCGCCTGTAGGTTATGTTGCTTCTCAGACCTGGTTTCTCATTTAGAATCTGACCCACATAGTGTGAGCTAGCTGTCTTCGCACTATATACATCATGCCTGAGGAATTATCATAGCCTGCTAGACTCGTTCTGGCCAATCAAACATCTTAATAATTAGTACTTAGGGTTACTTAGGGTTACTTAAGCTGCTCAGTCCGCCGTAGACGACGCCAGCAATGCGATCCCTCAGTTCCAGCCCCCGTCAGAGATGTCTCAGCTGCCGCAGACTTTAGCGACGACGCCCGCAAAGTCGCAGCCCATGATGGAGGCATCGGGGGAGAAGACGTCGATGAGCTTCAAGTCGGTGGCACTAAGCGTCATATTGGTCACCTTGACGAGGACCTCTCCGTCGCTAATGGCGGGCACGGGGATGTCGGTCCTAAGAGAGGTGATGATGGCCTTCATGGTGGGGATGGCGGCCAATGTTAGCTTCTTTCCTTTTCCTTTCCCCTTTTCTCTGTCCTTCTTTTTTGGTAAATTGCTGGGATGTCGTTGCAGTAGCATGTTTTCGGTTTTGAGGAAGTGGTATTAACTTGTAAGTCGTGATGGTAAATTAGTGAAGGTAAATTAGGGACGCTGCTGGCCGAAAATGGTTTCAATTGGAATTTAGAGGAGCTTTTGTTTTGATTTTGTCAGCCCATCGGCGTTCGAATGTGACTTTTCTTCGGTTTTAAGCATTGTGATTACGAGGTTGTAAAGGTTGCCTGGTGGAACTTCCAATGATTGGGTGTCGGCGGTGGATGGATTCGTCTTGGACCTAACACACAGTCCGGAGTGCTTAACCACCAGATTGGAGGAGTACGCCATGTGCTTGTGGCTGAGCTGAGCTGTAATGGGGCATCACATGTAAAGATGGATGTGGTTCCCACCATCTGCCCTGTTGGGAACTAACCCCTTGTTACCGACTACCTCCAGAAGGTCCTGGATGTCGGGTGGCTTCCTCGAGCCTAGTGTTCTGTTCCGCCTATTGCAATGTACGGGAATGAGCTAGCTGCCAGCGTTGTTCAGCTTCAGATCGTGCAAGAAGGTCAAAGCGAAAAAAAGAATCGAGAATTTCTTTGTCAGACTATTTTCGAGCCTGAAAATTACAGGCTGCATTTGTAACCAGAGCTCCGATGGAGGCGGCTCCGACGGAAGCGACTCCGACGGAAGCTAAACCTGATCCGATGCGGAGATCGGACTGTGGAGCGGGATTGGCGTTGAACATTACCATGCTTGTGCAGCAGCTATGTAGATAGCCAATGCCAGCGCTCTACTCCGTACTCAGAGATGCATGATGGATCCGCAAATCGAGGCCGTTCCATGGGTGCATGGTTTATCAACAATAAGCTAAAGAAACCTTGATTCGACGGTAGAGGAGTCTGAATCCGAAAAGTATATAAGAGGAGAGAGGCAGCACACATGCACACACCCACACACCAGCTCACTACCTCACGTTGCGCTTTCACATATTTACCCCGAGTACATCCTACCAGAGACACAACTATCGCACAATGTCCAGCGACCGCGCCCCAACAGCTGACCAGGCCGAGTTCAATGCTTGGTTCCCCTCACCCTTTTCTCTGACCCAATATGTCCCGTCCAAGACGGACTTTGCCGGCGCGGACTACGCCAACAAGGCCTACAAGGGGGGCAAGTGGAAGATTCTGCTTGTCGGCACCCAGGAGCGCTACCTCCGGATGGCCGACGGCAAGTTCTTCTCCACGGGCAACCACCCGGTCGAGCTGCTGCTGCCGCTGCTGCACCTTGACGCCGCAGGCTTCGACGTCGATGTCGCCACGCTCTCGGGCGACCCCGTCAAGTTCGAGGTATGGGCCTTCCCCCAGGAGGACGACGCCGTGAAGCGCATCCACCAAAAGTACGCGGACAAGCTCCGCGCGCCGCTCAACCTGCAGGAGATCTGGTCCAAGGACGGCAACGGCAGCGGCTTTACCAGCGCCACGCCGTACATTGGCGTCTTCATCCCCGGTGGCCATGGCGTGCTCAACGATGTGCCCTTCTCCGCACTCGTCGGCGACGTGCTCCGGTGGGCGCACGCCAACGACCGCTACTTTATCACGCTGTGCCACGGCCCGGCGAGCATGCTGGCGGCGGATGTCGGCAAGCCCCCGGGCAGCAAGTTCATCTACGACGGGTACGAGATTGTCGTGTTCCCAGACTCGCTTGACAAGGGGGCAAACATTGAGATTGGATACATCCCGGGCAAGATGGAGTGGCTTGTTGGCGAGTCGCTGGAGAAACTTGGTATCAAGACGCTGAATTCAGGCATCACAGGCCAGGTCCACCGCGACCGCTTCTTGCTGACGGGCGACTCGCCGCTGGCGTCGAACAACCTGGGCAAGCTTGCAGCCAAGACTCTTCTTGAGGATATAGCGAAGCGCGGTTAGAATGAGGAATAATATTTCTCCTATCCATTAGGTACTCAGTATCTGGTGTTATGTTGCAGACGTGACATGGGGGTAGTTGCAACCAATTCCAATTCGAGGCTCTCCATCTTATTAATTGGCAATGTGATGTGGTGATTTCAAAGTGTAATGATTCCCAACATCCTGCGTGCCTGCCTTTCCACGTAAAATTATCCAGCTGCAGTTCTAGCTACAAAATTGTCTACTTGCCTGATTACAAGAGTCGGTTTAATTAAGTCGTTAAATGATAAAAGTTCCGGAAATCTTCAACCTCTTATTAATACGAGTTGATACCTCCCACCACACTGCAGGGTACCTTGATGTTACAGTGGGGCTTTTGCTGCCTCTCCCGCCGAGCCTATCACAGGACCATGGCCATCACCTTTTGCTTCGTAAACTCACCATCAAATTCTGGAAATAAATGTCGCCGTCGCACCATGCGTTTCCAAGCAACCCTCTCCTTGCTTGCCTCATTCGCGATTCCCCTCGTCACCTCTACTGTCACATTCGCCCCTGACAAAATTCACGCGGAAAACAACGCGCACAGCATCTTCAACTCGGTCCACTCAGCCGGCCGGCAATGGGGCTCGAGCATCAACCACAACGGCTTCGCTCTCATCCCCGGCGTCGTCCCGCGCGGATCTGTCTTTTATCACGCGGCTGCGACGCCCACATGGCTGTCGACCGGGCCCGCGCGGCTTGATTTCGAGCCCGAGGCCGCCGAGGCCTTTGCCGCCGACTGGTTCAAGGGCTGCCGATCGCCCGGTGACGACGAGGCTTTCCCTGGGGACCGGCCAAGGGGCCCCGGGTACATGCACACGTACAGAAACAAGCGCGACCTCAAGGTGCTCCTAGCTGACGGCCTATCCGCGGGACAGACGGGATACGGCACGCTTGACACGCAAGATGTGCTTCTCCTCGAGAACAGGACCCTCGAAGGGAACGCGTGCGAGGCGGATCACCGCCGCGCGCACGCCCTCTGCGACGTTGTCGGGCCATGGGGCTACGACGGCGTCGTCCGAGCTGGACTTGGCTTCGAGCTGCTCCTGTGCAACGTCACCGGTACCATCTGGCAGATGAAGGTGAAGCGCGCGTTTTCCAGGGCCCAGCGACTCGGTGACGGCGCGCTGCTCATGGCGCAGTGGGTGCGCGCCGCCGCGCAGCGCTATGACACCCTCGGAGCTCGTCTGAGGCTCGACTTTTCCTCCATGGTGTCGGGCCTGTTTTATCCCGTCAACACAACGAACCCAGATCCGTCACATCCGGAGAGGAAACGTCTCGCCGCCACGCCGCTGGCGCATCTGCGTGTGGTGAAGCACCGCATAGAAGCGATTTCGCGCGCCGAGTTTCAGACGTTTCTGATCGACTGGCGGTATATTGTCGACACCATTGTCACGCGCTTCGCGGAGCGGCTGGCAGCCATGGCCGATCCGCACATCGAGGATGGCGACTTTGTAGACGAACTCGAAGCCGCAGCTCTGACCTACATCGACGCCACTGCTCTAGAGGATGGTGGCGAGACCCTCGAGAGATCTATCAGAGATTGCACCGACCACTACCTGTATCCCGCTCTTCCCTTTTCCCAGCGCTGGAACGAAGCAGACCACATGCTCTACCACGCCGTCATCACCGTTCTCTCCGATGTCTGCCGTACTCTTATCCGCGGCTGGTCCGATCTTCTACACGCCTCTAACCCGACATACTTGACCAGCAACGCACAGAAGCGCGCGGTCCTTGACGGGGTCAAGGCAGAGGTCAAGGAACTGACGACCCGTCTGGCGTGGACGACGTGGCGCAGGACGCGCGCATGCGCGGTCAACCAGGCAGAGCTGGTTGCCATGTGGCCGTATGGTGACCTCGAGGATCACAAACGCCCGGGATGTCGCGCGAGAGGCCAGCTCAGCATGGATAGGACGGGGTATTGGGGCGGGGGCAGCCTAGATGTCAGCGGCGAGGCGTCACTGACCTGGCCATCCGAGGAGCTATAGAGCAAATATTTCTAATAAATACTGATTCCATTTTAGTACTTAAAAGGGTCCCAATGGTATAGAGCCCCATTTCTATGATAAATGAAAGAACCTTTAGAATGGTCTTGTCTCTTTCACTTGCTAGGGGCGGACGCAGGCTAGCGTTATTTACGGCTACATACTTGTAGTTTTTATTACGTTTTCAGCCTTCACTCATCTCTTAGCCAATTAGAACAGCTTTTTCTTATCTGGTGAATCCTAGCCTACAGTCATAGTGTTTACCTTACTAGCTGGATGCCAGTCAACCAGCCAGCAGACCACTCAGGCGCATCGCGCGGACGATTAGCCACGGCTCGTCACACCCATTGCATTGCCCACCTGCATGGCTCGTTAGACGCAACCAATATCAGCTCACCCACCCGCGGTCGACATTGCGGTATGAGGACAAGTTTACTTATCCCAGCCAGCCAGCACCACCTTACCTAGTGAGCCCATCACATCAATCTATACCCTACAGGACGCATCGCCAGGCGGCATGCGAACATCGGTAGTCACGAAATCTTCGCCCACGTCGTCTTCACCGCCGTTATTGTCTTCAATGCCGGTCGCCTTATAGATAATCATAGACGCAAAAAGATCGCCCGACACATTGATCGCCGTGCGAAACCTGTCCAGGAACCAGTCGATGGAGACAATGACGGCAAACATGCCAGTAACCTGCACGTCAACAGACCGGGCGATCATGACCGACAACACCAGTGACGCGGAAGGGATCGGACTGACACCGATTGCGCCCATGGTGGACAGAAGAGCGACGATGATGTAATCCACGGGGCCGAGGGTTATCCCCTGAGTGGCAGCCAGAAACTCGACCGCGGCAGGCAAATAGATTGCAGTACTGAAGTGAAGGCAGTGTTAGCACACAAGAATGCATTTGCCAGCTCAGCATTTGAAAGTAGACAACATACCCGTCCATATTGATCAGACAACCTAAGGGACAAGTAAATTTGTAGATAGTTGATGGAATGCCTCGCGCTTTCGCACACTGCAATGTCACCGATAAGGTGGCGGCAGAGGATGCGCAGCCCCAGGCGGTGATCCACGCCGGTGAAATCCGTGCCCAGTAGATGAAGGGGTTCATCTTTGTGAAGCAGTAGAAGATGATCGGCAGAATGACAACCACGTGGATGAGCATTGTCGAGAGCGTGGCGGCAATGAGCAAGCCAAGGTTGGTCCCTATCTCGGCAATATCGAGCTTCATCAGGTTGGGCAGTATGAGGAAGAACACACCGACGGGCGCCACCTGGATCAGGAAAGTCACCACCCTGCTGACCATCCGTTCAAGCTCCTCAGCAACACGGATGATGGGGGATGCCGAACTCTCAACCAGATACCCGACTACCACTGCGGTTATGATGACGGCCAGGAGCTCGCCGTTCGCCAGGGCAGAGATGATGTTGGACGGAATGAAAGACCGAAACATGTCTAGCACGACGCCATGGACTGGCCGCTCTGACGTGTCCGGAAGGCCATCACCTGAATCATCTAGATCTAGCATAGCCCCTTCCACTGGCGAGTACAGCCTCGCCCACAGACATCCCATCAGTATGCAGCTTAGCATGACAGACAAGAGTGTGGTCACGACGTAGTACCCAACAGTCCATTTCACGAGGACTCCTCCATCCGCAAGATCTCTCAGGCGTCGCACGGAAAGGAGCATTGAGCAAACGATCAAAGGCAGCACTTTAATATCATCAGTATCTGTTTCAAACGGCCAGCAATGCAACCAAGTTCATTCCAGGAACACGTACCAACCGCATTTAGGCAGCGCAACCAGAGGTCACCTGGTATAGACAAGATGACGCGAGCCGACTCGGGAACAGACGGGGCTTGCGTGCTCACGACGATGCCAATGGCAATGGCAAGAATAGCGGCGGTGATGATCTGAGGAGCGGAGCCAGGAGTCTTCAACAATCTGGCCAGGCTTTGCCACCATGTACGTCTCGCCTCTTCCGGTTCATGGTCATCCCCCACACTCCCGAAGTTCTGTTTCAAGTTGGAGTCGGCCCGCTGAGGGAGGTGAGGTGACTCGACGAGCTCGATTTCGATCTTGGGTGGCATTTTCTCGGTTTTTGGCTAAACACTAGAGTGATGCGTGTTAATTGCGTCAAATGACGGCTCTCGAGGACAGGATTGAGGTCTGAGTGGTGAGCGGCGGTAGAGAGATGGGATAAACAATCTTGCGGCCAAGAATACATTAGCCATATTATATCATGACTCTGTGGTCGCGGTTGTGTGCTGCACGTGCTGTGTGGTGCGCGCGGCAGCGTCTCCTGCGGTACTGACAGAGACAGCTGCCGCACTTGGACCCTACTTGGCGTGGAGAAAGTCAGTGACACTCTCATGACTCACGACCTTATTCTGGTCCAGAAGGAGATTGATGTTTTTCTTGGCAGTTTCTTGGATGGCGACGCGCGGGAACTCACCAGGCCTTAGACCGACTTTCGTTGCGCGAGCCTCGAACTCCTTGGCGTCCACAGTGATGAAGTTAAGCCTACCCTTGTATTGCTCAGCAATGGGCAGGATGGCTTGGCCAAGCCTCTTGCGTCCCTCCTGCATCTCGGCAAAGTCTTGGGCCAGCGGGCTAGTCGAAGACAAATAGGTGACAGACGTCTCAGGTTAAACTCGCCCACGAATGTGTTGATCGGAGGCTTCTAGGCACAAGCGCAGCGTATGCACGTTCCACCACAACCACAGTATAGAGGCATCTCTTATAGCAGTCACAGCTTTCTTCTATTAATCAGCTCCTTCTCTAATATTCCCATGCCTGGTGATCATCAGAGTGGCGTAGCCGCAGCGCCGGCAAGACTCTGATTGAGTAGGTGCCAAGCCGCCCCACGTACCTGGATTTGCTCGACTCCCCAGCATTGGAGGACTTGTGCAGTACAATTGATGGCATGTTGACCCCCTCAGTCTTGGCAAGGACAGAGTCGCTGACGGTGCCGGCGCTAAAGCCAGGCCAAGGTTGGAGCCGCGCCCGGGGAGGCTTGTCAGAAAGAGTTGCCCCGCATGATATAGAGTTTGCGTTCAGTGGCAGACAACGGCTTCGTATGATTCAAGGTTGTTGCTTGTCTGCCGAATTTGTTTTTGAGCCGGCGGGGCATGTAGACGTGTGGCCTCAGTTCCGCCGCTGAAGCGAAAGAGTCTGGGGAAGGCGGCACTAAGAAATACACATGGCCCAATACACGTACGGGATTTATCCAACATCGAGCGGTAGTCTATATCATCCTGAAGGCGACGGAATTCCGCTACGCGGCGTGTGCCGTTTTACCTCTGGATTGCTCATGTTAATGGTATTCTGTTTCTTTCCTTTCTTCAAGCTTTGCGGTCCGCACCAAGCAATACCTCGTCCCAGCTTTGAGGCATCCTTTCCAGCGTGTGTGTGCTCCAGTTGGGGTTTAGCCTTTGCCAAGTTGCCATTTGGAGACGTCTTGGGGTGTCGCGTGCTTCCACGTTCGCCAAGGCTGGTTTATTGCCAGCCAGGCATCACGTCGATCGCGTGCTCGCCCTCCGGACAGCTGAACGGCGAACTCAAATCGCCTAACTGAGCACTGAAAGAGCGAAAGCTTATCCGTCTAATTTCAATTCAACAAGGCCTAGCAAAGTTCCACTTCAAAATGAACATTTTGCACCGTGTTATCACGCCTGTAGCTCTTGGCTAGCCAATCTCCGACGTTCCAGGCACGACGGCGGAGCGCGGCACGACTTGGCATTGGTCTAGGCGAGTCGCTTGCTCAGTTTACTGTCAGAAGAAGACCGAGGTCCTCATATGGCGGTTGTTAAACGTCCGTCTCCTTCAGCCCGCTCATATCTGCGTGGCTCTTAATTCTAGGGTAGTGTTGGCGAGAAGCAGCCACTGATCCACGAGTCGTGTTTATACACCTGCATTTATGCCACGAAGGCATCGCGTCCATCCAGAGTTTGAATGCTTGGCTGCCGAGTTGGGGTTCAGCAGCTCGAAGGCTATCGCCACTGCAGACCATGTGCATCCGAAAACCTAGTGTCGCCAACTTAGCAAACCCAGCTAGATTCGGCAGAATCGACAGCAGCTTTGTTCTTCTGCTGTGAGTCCTGAGCTGTGAGCCTCGTATATATCACGACGGACGGCATGTCAATTGTGCAGCAGATAGCGTTTCTCGAGTTTGTACTCGTAGTTCGGCTATTCGGTAGGGGTATAACGTTACTTCGGTGGCTTTCCGGGGAGTTAGTTAGCGCAATGTCGGTGCACAAAGGTTGGGCTATTCCAGAGGGTCGGTTAGTGATAGCTTCGACCACAGCAGGTGTATGCCCAACTCCTCGTATACCTAGTTCGGTCGTCTTTCGCTTGACCAAGTTCCTACTGTATCTCTCCGATATTGTGATGAGAGATTCTAATCATTTTGCCCTCGTTGCTTATTTCCTCCCTCATTTGTTGCATCTCGACGTACATCGCTCCATCAACTCCTGCATCCTCTTTATTATGCCTGAAATAGCTGCCTCCGGCCTGCCGCCTGCTGTAGTCACCTCGCGCACCTCTTCCGCTTCAACCGCCTCCGGCGGGATGTGGGTATATTCTTCCAAGCGTCACATTGATATTCTCGTAGATATTTCGCACCCGCCCAGCCTTCAAGCTGGCCTCGCGGTTCGACCAGATCGCCTCAGACGAGGACCTCCGAGGTTTGTCACTTCGCGCTTTTTTTATCAAAAATTCAGTATAGAACGGCCGATTGAAGACGTAAATATTTCTACACTGAAAATTAGATAATTGATACAACAGCCGGTGCCGGCCGCCGGCAGGAACGGCTCACTCGAGCAAGGCGGATATGACAAAATACCCAGAAAAAACCGCTATGGCAGCGTCAGGATGCTCTACCCCAGCTTGGTTGTCACAAACTTGCAAATGGCCACGTTGTTCGCATTGTGATGTTTATACGGGTCAAAATCAATCATGTTGCATATTTGGCTATTATCGTTCTCAGCCGAGCTTCATTTCATTCAGACTTACAATAAGCATGGCAACGACCAATACTAGCCCGCGCCAGGTTGAACCGTCACCCTCGGCTAGGTACTCAATACCTGATGCTTGAGCCAACCTCAGTAAAATCGCCGCCGTCATTCCAGAGGAGAACCCGGAGGAAAGACCAGTTTACCACCATAAAACTCTTGAGGAGGCTCACGAACTGGAAAGCATATACCAAGAGGAGCTAAAACGACTACGCTCTGCAGGGCCTCCTCCTGAAAGTTCTGGCCAAGCTACCACTCAAGGAGATGCTGACGACTCGCGAGGCCAAAGTTGGCTACGACGCTCAAGATGCTCTGTTCTATGATAATCGCAGCTATTAGAGGTATGCGCACTAGGCTGCGATTCAGTCTTCCGGCCAGACTATGGAGATACTGGATCCATTCTCTATATTTATCGGTTGCGAAGTATCTGCAGCTTTCTCCTTTGAATGGTTTGATGGGATGGATGCTTATGCTAAGCACAGGAGTCTGGAAGCCCGTATAGTACAAGCATAGACCCAGCTATAATCACAACAGCCCCCAGCGAAATCAGAACGCTTGCACTCACGTAAAAATAAGAATGTTTCCGCTTAATTGATGTTAATTCTGCCACCCAGGTAGAAACGGTGCTTAAACATCCGCAAAACCTGCTCTTGGTGCCCTGGAGCACCTGGCATCCTATCACGCCACCAACAGCCACACTGCTCAAATCCCATGCGGTCGCCACAACAGCAGATGCGAATATGTTGCCAACAAAAGTTCCAACGGGAAACGCTGCAATCTTGCCGTTTAGATGAATAGCGAGATAAAACCGCGTCAACACTTACATCAGCGCAAAGACAAGAGCAAATGTCATGCGCGCGCCAGAAGTCATGTGGAGGCAGTACACAGAGCAGAATCGCACCGAATCAAGAACCCCAGCCGAGGAAAAACCACAAGCGGATCGATGAATCTCCTCGTCAGAGCAAAAGAAAAGACGGGGTCATCTTCTCCGTAGTCACAGCCAAATGTGAACCAAGCTTGAGCCCCAAGAAGGGCACATGGTAACGACGATGACCCCAACCACTGCCATGAAACTATACCCCCCATTACGACTTATAGAATCCATTTCAACAGAGGTAAGTGGAAGTAATTAGTTTGACAGGGCCAAGAATGCGTCCAGTATAAAGTCCGAAAATGTGGTCAAAGAGCCACACAGCCTAGTAGTAAGTCCGACATATAGCGGAAGGGATTTCTTAGTGAACATGAATGCCCTTTAGCGTCATTGAGGCTCTCTTTTTGAATCCGCCCAATACTCTCCGGCTGGCCTTATAATCTGCTCGTGGTACGTTGGTGAACCCCGCTCGTGCAGGAACAACTTGCGATCCTCTAACAAGAAGCCTATGATCGACAACCTGTAAAGTTGGCCCATATTGTATCAAAACCAACAGGAGTGCCAGCGTAGGTGGTCAGCGCGGCGATGCCTTTTCTCGCCAACGTTTCGAGCATGGAGAAGAAGACGAGGTATGAATATATGTATATCTGCGTGGCGATGCCCGAGGGCTCCGGTGCCACTGAAGTTGTTCTAGAAAAACTGAATCATTTGGCTCTCTGCGGTGGTGGTCGCTGTTGTGACTCCAAAAACACCCTTTCGCGATTGCGTACATGTTCGAGATTTGTGTGACTGTACACGTGTGCTTCGGTAGGGTTCTCGAATGGTAGTACCGGGGCTAGTTCATCCAGATTGGCCTATGGCTGTAACGCGCCGCTTTCAGTTACATCGCATGATTCTGTTGGTTGCTGTCCTACATCATTATGCGCATTTGAAGTGCGGCCGCTTCAGGAGACTGTGCGAGCCGACTCTGCAGACAGCTCTGAACGGGGAGGCAATGCCGAAATTCGAATATCGTTAAATATGGCTTGTCGTTGAAGAAAACGAGCCATAGTGAATTATATTTCTAGACGCATTGTATTATAGCCTCGCATGCTTTTAGCATATGGTCGGATGAGTGGCATTGTCCCTTTTTAGGAAAATCGGTTATAATACTTTTATGCTGAAGACCGGCCGTTTCGGCTCAGGCCGGTATATAGGACTTAAGAATCATGGGTACTCGGGGAATCGGAGACAATCACACCCGGGCCGGCACGACATGCAATTCGCAATAGTAATTTCGTAGTTATAAGTCAGAAGCAGGCAGCCCTGTGCAAAGTAGGCTGGAGCGCATAGTATCATTAATACCTGGTGTATTTGCGTTAAAACCTCCGCTCACCGCATAGGCATCGTCAAAGAACGGCACCGACTAGGCCATAGAATCCACAACTTTGGCTTTCCTGTTTCAGTTTGCATTTGACCGCGAGCCACCAAGTCGTGCAGCATGTCACCGGAAACCGGCGGCATTGGCCCGAAGACGATACGTTTGTCTCTCATATTGCCTGAAGAATTCAAAAAGTCCTGTAGTATATACAAGTCCGCTCAATGCGATATCAAACACCCGTGTTTATGCATCGCCGCGCGCCCCAAACGCCAGTAATCAGTTGTTTAAAAGTCAGAATTTTGCCGCTTGGTTTGTACATCAGGCCCTATAGCCTGTCTAGTCATCGTAGCCGCCTTTAGTACCTAGGACGCCCTCGCCGCCGCTGGACCGCCGCCTCTTGCCCAGTACCTCGACGAACCACCCAGACAGGGTGTAGCCCCAGTGACCGGCGACGAGCACACCGCTGACGACATTGATGAGCTTGATGAGGAACACGAGAAAGCTGTTACGCGACTCATGAACGGTGAGCAGGATGGGCTCAATATCGTACTTGACAAAGATGCCAGGGACGGCAGAGTGCTCGTCAATTTCCTTGCTCTGCTCAGTCACCGCGTACTGGTTGGTTTGGATGGCGCTGCGACCGACGCTGTAAACGGTGGGAACAACGGAGAGGTAGTACTGAAACTTGTGGAAGTGAGCAGAGGCGGTGTTGACGGTGCGGTCGAGGGGATTGACGAGGGACGGGTAGAAGGCGCCATATGAGAGTTCGGAGATGACGTGGGAAAAGTTGAATCCTACAAAGAAATTAGCCAGGGTTCAAGCGCTAGGGTCAGAGATTGGCGTACGGTCGTGCTCCAGGTGCTGGCCGAATTCCATATAGCCGTGTCCTCTAGCAGTAATGTGGAAGTCACCCTGAACCTTGTTGAGGTCCAGCGAGCCGTAGATGCGACAGCTGTCAGCGGTACCCCAGAAACGCGGGGTCTTGCTCCATTTGGCGCGCTTCTTACCGAGGGCGACGATGTCGTGGACGTGCTCTTCACCAAAACCCTCGTCATTCATGCTGGAGAGGCTGGTCCAGCCCTCACCGGTGTTGACGCGACCGTGGGCGTCGTGGCCGAGCTTGTGGACGCCATCGGCGCCAACCCACTGGGACCAAGTGGTCGGGTCGCGCTGAAGTCGGGAGGCAGCGAGAATGCGGTCTCCCGATGCGTCCTGGACGTTTATATGAAGGTCGTTGCAAAGCATGTTGACGACGATGTCGAGATTGATTTGCATTTCGTGGGAGATGCCCTTCTCGACCGCAAAGTTGTGCGTCTCCTCGCCGCGCCACCAGCGTCCGACCTCAGAGCCCATGAGGATGAGGGAGATGAAGATAATGGCGACAGTCCATTTGCCACCGCCGGCAGTGCGGGTGATGTATTCAGGCTTGGATTTTGCTGCGCGCGTTGAGAGAGCGTCAGTTAGTAATCGGTTGAGTAGGGTTGGAGGAGGGTTGCATACGGAAGGCGTCAAATGCGCTGACGACGCTGCCCTTGGCGCCAAAGTTGTGCTCGTCGAGGTCATGCTTTTCAAATCCGTTCATTGTTACGGATAACTGGCGCTGCAGGCCAGATGGTGGTTGAGCGTGGTAGGAGGGATAGCGTCCTGGGACGATGGCAAACCGGGGATGCGACGCGCAAACGGCTAATTCATAACCAAATGTGATGGTAGGCGTCAAGCTGAAGACTGATTGTTACAATGCGGCCAGGATAGGAGCGCCACGGCAACTTAAATGGATCGCGGGGATGTAGGTCGCGAGGCGCGAAAGTCTGGTGGTGAAATGAAGCTTGCGATGCTCTTTCACGGGCGGCGTTGCACCATGTCTGTACGAATTGAGGACACCTTTGACATACAGCCGCGCAAGGGTCGCGGCGGTCCCTGGCGTTTGGCCCAATCAGGATAAGTGAGCAAGTGGGGACACTGTTACCAGCGCCTGTGATTTCCACCCCTACCCTGTACCTACCTTTTTAGGTAAGGTAAGGCACCTGCAGCATTCCGCCTAAGGGAGGATGGTGCACGCAGCTTGTTACAGCGTCACGGGGTCAGTTGTGAACAAAATGAGAAGATTACATTTGTGCCGTTTTCGATCGCGATAAGCATGCTGCCCTTCAAATCCAGAGTCATTTTGCAAGGCTGAGCTGGAGTTTAGGTTCAGGCAGCCTGATGTGGCTGCAAGGCGTCCAGTGTGGTCAGCAGCTGAAACGGTAACTAGGTAGGAAAAGGTTGTTTCCAGACTGCACTGCTGGGTATTTCTTTTGATCTACCATCGCTGGCGGAAGTGGCGTCGCACGCTGCCCTCCTTACTACAAAAAAAGCAGACAGGAAAGACTGTTTAAAAAATCAAGCCTGAGATCTATGAATAAGTAACTTGAATTTTACTTGGCTTCAACCAAGGCAGCTGGTCGTCCGCTTCCTGTCTTGGTTAGAGCACTACCCAACTGCGACGTCATAACTTGGGTTTATATACAGACGCCTGGCAGTTGCCTGCACAACTAGGTCAACTTGTACCACTCAAGATTATTAGTAAAGAGTAGGTAGTAGCGCATTTGTTTGCCTTTTATTGCGCGTTTTTAAATATCAAAATTCAGAATATATGCTTTTTGTAGCTTCCGAATCCCATACCAACAAAACAACAGTTGGTGGGGGGGAGCAGCTTCCGCTTCGGCCCGCCTGAAAGAAGAGGGACAACAAAGGCAACAAAGGCAACGCCTCCGCCAGAAAACAAAAAGTATCCATCTCATCAGCCACTAACTGCCCAGTTACCCACGCACGGAGCATGACGCACATCAACGGATGGCTAGCCCTACATGAACGTGAACCAACCATCCACCGGCCTCGTGATCGTCATGCCTGGCTCCCTTGGACGGTTGGCGACGCCCTCGACCGTCTGAATGACTTGGGCTTTGCGCCCGATGGCGAATCAAGACTTGTCTAGCCTCAACGACACCACGCCACCGGAAAGCTTCACACGTCCAACCTGTTTCACTTTACGCATCACGCTGCTCATGACGCTCAGCTAGTTTGCCTGTCAGCTACTAACCAGGGGGAAACTAGTTAGGTAGTCGGCCTCCGGATGCCACTGCTTCGATCAGGCCCCGAAATCAATCCACCACCATCCATCAGCATCCACGCCCGTGCTGTCCTGCTCACCTGCTGTCTGTCGCAGCAAATAGGAGCCCCGCGCGCAAGCCGGCCGTGTCCACCCACCCATTCGTCACTCCGCCCTCCAAAACCCAGCCACTCTCTTATTATCCCAGCAGATCTCTCGCTTTTGGCTGCTCAGCTTTTCTTTCGCTTCGTCATCGTCGTCACATATACTTAAGACACCTGGAGTATATCAGCAACTCCCGCATTCGCCCCCCCTCCCTGAAACCCTCCACTGCTGCCTGCCATGGGCGATACTTATAGGTCGACCCGAACCTACCGTGAGGAGGACGAGGATGACCGTGGTGGAGTACGAAGCAGTACCACCGTTACACGCTACAAGGTTGGCTCTTCCAAAAATCCCGACCGTTTCGATCGCATAGAAGTTGAGGACGACGCTCGCTCTCGCTTCTCCTCTGGCCCCCGTCGCGTATCCAACGACTTGCCTGACCGTCCGCGCTCCAACTTTGACCCCGCCGACCGCACCCGCACCGTCATGGAGTCTGACCGTGAATGGGACCGTCGCTCCCGCCAGGACGACGTCCGTATCGAGAGACGTGTCGACGAGTCCTTTGAAGACTCTCGCGGCCATGATGTAGAGCGCTACCGTAAGGAGACCGAGTACTTTGCCCCTGCCGAGCCAGCGCCGCCGCCCGTCATGTTCCGTCAGCCGGCACCTGTCCAGGACGCGCCTTCATCTCAGCCCTTATACTACAACCGCCAGGATCGCCCCGAGGCTGGTCCCATGGTCATCAGAGAGCGTGACGATCGCGAAGTCGTCCGCCGAGGTCCTTATGAAGACGATTACTACTACAGACATGAACGCCGCGAGTTTGGGCCTGGTCCCGTTGGGCCATACCGAGGCGACCCATACTATCGCAGAGATCCCTATGCTCGTGACCGGGACTGGGGCTTGGCCAGGTATGATAACCGTCGCCGAGAAGAGTATTACAGCGAGGATGAAGACTACTACGTCTCCAACGGTCGTCGTCGCAGATCCCGCTCTCGCCGCCACCGAAGCCGAAGCCGCTCTCGCAGTCGCAGCAAGAGCTCTGATCACCACAAACTGCACCTTGCAGAAGGCGCGCTTGCTGGTGCTGGTGTTACTGCTCTCTTGCAGAGCAAACGTGATCAGTATGGTGATCTTCCTGAAAACAGAGGCCGCAAGGTCCTCGCCGGTGCTGCTCTCGGCGCACTCGGCACAGAAGCGCTCAAGAGGGCCCATAGTGCCTATGAAGAACGCTGGGGCGATCGCGACGAGTCGCCTGACCATCATTCCAGACTGAAAACTGGCTTTGGCATAGCTGCAGTAGCGCTTGCCGCTGCTGGCGCTGCCAAGTACTTCCAGGCCAACAAGATTGAAAAGGAAGAAGCCCACCGCGGTCGCAGTCGCACCCGCGGCTACGCCTCCGATGGCTACCACGACTCGCGATCTCGTTCGCGATCCAGTCGTGCTCCCAGCCGTCGCAGAAGTATGTCTAGAATTGCCAAGGCTGCTCTCGGCACTGCAGCTACAGCTGGTGTCCTTCGTCACCTGCACAATAGATCCAAGTCTCGCGGCGGGGATGGCCGCGAACGGAGCAAGTCTCGTCTGCGCACCGGTGCCAAGATCGCCGGTGCGGCTGCCGCTGCCGGCGTCGCTGGGAAGCTTTACAAGAATCACCAAGAAAAGAAGGAGAAGGAACGTTCTCGCTCCCGCGCACGTAGCGACACAGAAGACGACCGATACCATGACCGGCGGGACAGAAGTCGCAGCCGCAGCAGGTCGATGGCCCGATCCTTCCATTCCGATGCTGGGGCTGATAGAGAGCTAGGCTTAGTTGAGTACGGCAACGGAGACCTGCCTCCTGCCCGCCGAGGATACGAATCCGACGAAGATCGCTCCAGCAGGAGGCGCCGAAGCCGGCGACGTGAGCGCGACTCCTCCTCTTCCGCCTCCGATGGTGGACGCAAGAGAAGCCAAAGCCGCCTTCGCAATATGGCCGCTGCGGGCGCCGCGGCCTTTGGTATCAAGGAGTACAAGGACAAGAAGGATCGCGAGAAGCGCGAACGCAAGAATAGAGAGCGACAGCACTCACGAGACGGTAGGTTGCACTGCACTGCTTTGTCACTTGCGCCGTACTTTACTGACTTGTCCAGGATATGATGATGGCTATGACCGCCGTGATCGCCATGTTGACAGACCGTCTTCGCCACCACATGCGTCTGGAGGCGCCTATTACCCGCCTTATCCGACCACGCCGGGACCCGGGGGACCAGCCGACTTCCATCCTTACGACAGTCCAGGCGCTGCCCAGTCACACGAATTCCAGCCGTACATACCTCAGGACTACATGGGCTACGCGCCTCCGCCACCACCCGGCCCTCCCCCTGCCCCTATTCCTGGCCCGATGACAGGATATCCGCCGGAGCCACCCGGACCTCCAGGACCTCCTCCTGGCCCTCCCCTTAGTGGCCCCCTTCCTGGTCCAGCTGCCGGACCAAGCCGACCTCCAGAGCATGTGAGTAACCATACCCAAGATCCAGACAATGCAGAGCCTAGTCCAGAGGGTGCGTTGGCTTCAGCTGAGCGTATCATTCGCATATGAACACTCCATCACTGACTTTCTAACAGCTCCAATAAATGATTCATCCTATGGAAACGGAGGAAAGAAGCCGCCTGCAGCCACAAAGTCGGTCTCATTCATCCCAATGTCACCTAAGAGCACGCATACGATGGAAATGCACCGACGACAACAGCAGCAAGCAGTCAACGGAGATGTCTCCTCTCAAGAAGACTGCAACTCTGCGGACAATCAGGATTGGCGTGTGGGTCATCATCGTCGCTCATCAGACACTACTCATGATCGTCCCCGCGGTCATGGGAAGGCCTATGAGTCCGACTCTGAGGAAGAGGTTGAACGCCTCCCTGACCGATTTGATGGGCAAGGGCGGCCGCTAGCTCGACGTTCCTCTAGCCAAGATCGGTGGACCAGCCGATTTGGAACGTTCCGGCGCGAGCCTCGACGCCCCGGCGGGTGGGATATGCAAGGAGCGTGGCACGTTGGTGGCACTGATAGCGAGGCTGTCGAGCGATTGGCCCATGGCGTCACAAATGCGCTAGATGGCCGTGGAAGCTGGATGCAAGTTCTTGGAGAGGTTCTTGGTAGTGGCGTGCTCGGTGCGAATCCAAACGCCCAGGGACAGCCGCGGTTGGAGGATGGTAGAGCGGCAGGCAAGGATGACGAGGGTAGACGAAGACTGCGACGAGGGGAATGATTTGCAGACTATGCTTGATGATTAACGACTTCACGATTGGTGGCTTAATATTTGCTTTTTTTTATCGCATACGTTTCATCCCTTACAAATTGATGCTTATGTTTCTGGCTCATTCTTGGTTCTGCTTAATAATCTGCAATAGGGGTTAAGTCATGACAAAGGAGATGGCATATCATTTCAATCATGATCATAGTAGTTCTCTGCAGTGCTGGCACTTGTAACAAACGTCCCTAGCACAGAGCATAATCTTGACCCAAGCAAGAAATGGGCCAATACCGGACGCTGCCCACGTTGCAGGTGCGCTGGTGTAAACTCTACTCAGCTGGTATCTCCATTGGAGGCAACTTCTACCGTCTGCTCGATATTTAGCGGCCACACCTCCTCGGGTTCCCACTTCAACTCGCACGTCTTCATCTCCTCAAGCTTCGCCAGCACCAGCTCGTCCATCTCGGCAAAGTCAGCCTCGTCGAGCATGTGCAAGCGCTCGCGCCAGGCATCCTCGGGGCCTACGCCTGGTGGCAGCGGGCCGAAAAAGCGCTGATCGAGCTTGTGCCAGTAGATCCAGTCAAAAGCGAAGCTCTTGCGGGCGGCATACGCGAGCCAGAAACCGCCCGTTTCCCAGCTGGCGCTCATCCGGTCGCTGAGACGCGGCTCCTCTCCTTCACCAGGTAGCCAGCCGTCTGCGAAGGCTGCGTCCTCGCGCTCGCGTAGCACGCGCAGGAACAGCTCGAGGCGTGGCGCGTAGGCGTCCTCCCAGGCCTCGAACCCGCCGGCCCAGTCCTCGGGCTCAGTGAGCAGCAGCCACCAGGGCGGCGCGTGGGCGAACTCGGCAGGCGCGGCGTACGTGTGCTTCCAATCGATGATGGCGGCGACGCGGCCGTCGCCGTTGGTCAGGGCGTGGCGCGGCGCCAGCTCGTCGCACCACAGCGGGAACGGGCCGTAACGGAGCGCCGGGTCGGCGAGCCGATCGGCGGACGCGAGACGCTGGAACAGCCGCCGCGCGACGAACTTGCGACGACAGTCGGCGGCGCAGTCGATAGCCGAGTTGCGCTGCGAGCGCAGGTGCGCGAGGTGCAAGTCGGCGAGGTGCGAGAAGTAGTCGGTCGACGTGGCGAACGTGGTCTCGGGACCGGGCAGGCGCGCACGAGGGAGCGACCCGACGTGCGTGAGCTGGTTCATCTGCATCGTCAGGGGCCGGTATCGGACCTCCCACGTTTCTTCTTCCTCGTTGTCATCGTTGCCGTTGACTTGATCGAGCGCTCCGATGGCTTCAAATGCGGCGCGCGACAGGTGAAGCAACACGTTGGCCATCTCCCCATACACAGCCTCGAGCGTGTCGGAGCCGACCTTGGGGTCCGCCGTCTTGTTACCCAGCTCCTCCTCGTGCCCCTTCCCCCGCCCGAGTGACTCGGTGGCGAGTCTGAGCGTGTCTGCCAATGACCCCGTATGTATCATGTAGTCAAGGATAAGGAACGGGCTGCGGAGGAAAGGGAGCCCTTCCTCCGCGGTGCCGTGATAGTTGACAAAGGGGACGGGTATACCCGTGTTGGCTTGGAGGTATCGCAGGACGGCGGCCTCGTTGCGGACAGCCTCCTCGGGGAACATGGCGAGGCTGCCGCACTTGGGAAACCGGACAAGTATGGTGCAGCCGAGGAAGTTCGCCCGAAAAGTGTCGCTAGAGGCACCAGAGTAGGGCTTGCAGAGATCGCAGGGCACGCCTTGAACATGCTTCTTCACCAATCTCATGATGTCCGCCTGCGTTCGTGGTTCTGTTAGTTCGAAGAGCCATTCTTGCCTCAGACGCATGGACTCCTCCAAAGCGACAGCATCGGGTGCCATCTGCTTGATTTTGGGGGTATCAAGCTTCAGTTTCATGATGTTTTGGAGTTGTATATAGCTCGTCTCTAGTTGGTTGGCCGTGAGGGCTGACTATTACGATAATGAGGTAGGGTAACGTAGCTGCAGCGAAGGCATCCAACAGCTGCCTTTAAAACTGCCTTGATTATATAAGAATCGTTGCTTTTGACCGCCGCCTGATGCATTGTCCTCGCAACCTGGTGGCGGTTACCCCGCTGCCCTGGCCATGTCTTACTCTGAAATAAGGGAGGCATCCCCCCTCTGTGTCTCCCAAAATTTCCCCATCAGCCATCATGGGTGATGTACGAGTTACAGAATATCACATATGCGGTTCCTTGGATGCGGGCTCAACTTGGTGCGTTGCCCAGGCTGTATGGGAAAGGTGATGGGATGCTGCCCACGGCTGACCTCGACAATTAGACAAGTACAAGCGCCCAAGCCAAGCAGTTCTGTTCCATTATACAATACGGCTCTTTCCGTTCACTACTTGACACAGATTAAAGTATTAGTCATGCATGGTCCTCAGCGCACTTTGGGAATGTAAATTACACAGGAATGATCGTGAAATTGTTGCCAATGACACCATGCAGCGCCCAGTGAATAATGTGACCTGGTGAGAGCACTTTTGTGGTGGCCGCGACGCAGGTCAAAGCGCCAGCAGGGCAGCCAACAAGGGAAGAAGGCAACGTTTTTTCAGGAAAATCCAAAGTAATTCTCTGTTAGTTCTTTCATGAACTGGTAGTGCTGAGCAAAAGTTGGTCCAAGATGTACCAACCTTCATCAAAACATTAATCTACAACAGGCACTACTTTCCCACTCCCTTCCGTATCCTAGTCTTCCAGAACCAGGCCATGCGCGCGACAACACGCATAACTAATCTCTCACGCCTCATTTGCCAATTACTTGAGTCTTTGACACCGCGACATCGCAACGCCGAAGAATGGGGAAGCCACCCTGGCGATAGTAGTTGGCCCTTGAGTCTTGAACTTCCTCTGACAATGAACGCTTCTGCGGGGCTTTCAGTAGGAGCAGAACAGGATAAAGTAGGTATCACTTACGCTGTACTCGCTGAGACATTCATCTATGATGAGTTTATTTCACGAATCCAAAGAGCTATACCTGATGGTCTCCCTCTTCCTATTCTTAGAAATGCTCGACAAACTATCGTGGGGATGTTTGTAATGGGGAGACATAGAATAGCGTAACAGCTGAAACTTAGATCCAGTGCGCATTCAACCTACAGTCCCGCACTTATATCTCCTTCTCAAAACAGTCTACAGCTTTCTACCTCTGTTACTAAGAATCCCAGGAAACAACCAGGCAATTTCTCTCGGTTGCAGAGTGCGTCGTGTGCCAGCATTATCTTGGTAGGCTCATTTGCATGTAGAGGCTACCCTATACCATGTTATACCAACTCGTAGTGGAACAAAATTGCCTAACAGTCCGGCAAAGCATGAGAGCATCTAGAACCAAGTAACTGAGCACGAAACTTCGAAACCTGGTACGATAGTTCACTAGACATACCCCTAGCACACTTTCGGTGCGTCTATGAATCTGGCTAAAGACTGGCGACATGAAGCTGAAAACATATTAATTCCCTCCGCCCCGTAGAGTAAGTAATGTGGCTTTGCAGGTTTAAGCTAATTCTTCTTGATATTTAACACTACCATTTCCTCATAATTATTCTTTCACGAGATCGATACTCTTTGACATGAAGGCTGTAAGCGACATTGATGAGCGGCCGATCCGATCCGAGCCAGATTCTGACCCAAACTCCGTGGATACCGTGGATGGCGTAGCTATTGTGCTCTCTTCTGAAGATGATGTTTATCTAAGCCCATGAACATTCCATATGTTCGTCATAGGCGAGTCCGACCGATTCCTACGCCTGGCAAACTGTGACACTAACGTGGGACATTACTTTACAGGTATTCGGCTCGGAATATTCGGTGCCATTATGGAGAAATATATTTCTTCCGCCAAGTGACTCTCGATGTATCCAACGTATTCTTAGCTTTGGCAGGTTACATTCTAGGGAAAGCGTTCGAGTGGGTGATTCCTGGGAAAGGCCTTCTCGGCCACTGGCTCAATCCTCACCCATTCAATCTGAAGGAGCATGCGGCCATCATTGTCCTGGCGTCATCCGCCGCGCAGGCTGCAATGGCGGCCGAAGTCATTGCCGTTCAAAGACTGTTTTACGATGACGCTCCGAATGCTGCCATTTCCACCGTCATCGTCATCTCTTCGCAATTATTGGGCTACGGCTTCGCAGGACTCCCACGCCGAGCCTTGGTATACCCATCAAAGATAAGATGGTGTGGCCGGTCCTGCTTCCGATGAATACACTGCTGCAGGCGCTTCATCGCGACAGGCACGAGACGAAAGACCGGCTGCGATTCTTTGGGCTGGTCTTCATAGGCATATTCTTCTGGGAGCTGCTTCCGGAGTACATGATGCCAATTTTGACAGGGCTCAGTGTATTCTGCTTGGCCAAGCGAGACAGCATGTTATTCACACAAACCTTTGTGGACGCCGCTCTTGACTTTGGCAAACAGCCTCACAGGATACCTTATATGCATCCCACTGTTCCTCGGCATTTACTATGGAAATGTATGGGAAGCCCAAAAATTCCCACATCTGTCGCAGCTCATCTTTTCCAAGGAGTTGAACCAGTCTGCATATGTTACCTACACCCAATGGAGCATACTTGACGACGAAAACATTTTCCTCCCCTCGGCACTTGACGAGCAAGGTGTCCTTTATTTCGCCGGCAGATACGCAATATTTCTCTCTACCACGAATATGGCCGTTACTGCTACCATAGCCCACCTCCTGTTATGGAATTGGGGTGATGTAAAGAAAAGGTACGCGTTTCTATCACCAAGCTCTCTCCAGAGCTCTCTTTCTCTACACGGGTGGAAATGGCCGAGGGATCAAAGAAAAGCTGCCGAGAATGAGAAGGATCCCTACTACCTCAAGATGCTTGCGTACGATGAGTGTCCCGGCTGGTGGTACATGCTGGTGCTTGTGGTATCCATAGTGCTCGGCTTCATCGGTATATACATGGCCAAGTGAACCTTGACATGGTATGGATTTCTCGTCAGCATTGCTGTTGCTGGTCTGTTCATCCTCTTCTTCGGGGCGCAAGCTGCACTCACAGGATTCCATGCAATGTTCAGCCGATTGTACAGATGGTTGGGGGCTACGTCCACCCCGGCCGTCCTTTGGCAAACATGTATTTTACACTCTTTGGCTACAACAACTCCGTCATTCAAAGCCTCAGCATGGTGCAAGACTTGAAATTAGGACAATACGCAAAGCTGCCGCGAGAGCGACGTTCGTGACACAAGTTGCAGGGACACTGATTGGGGGCATAGCAAACTACATTGTTATGGTTCAGATCACCTGAAACCAGAGAGATATTACAGGAAATTCAGGGTACGAACGTATGGTCTGGCCGAAATATCCAGCAATTCACTCTCAAGTAAGAGCCATGTCCTGCAGTGGGCAACCGTTCTGCAAAACTCACACTCAGACTCACAGGCCATAGCATGGGGCGCCTTGGCCAAGGACATGTTTTCGCTCGGTTCTTGTTATGAGCTGATTCCTATTGGATTGCTGGTTGGAGCTCTTCTTCCGGTTCTATGCTATCTGCTACACCGAGTGTGCCCGAGGATCGGCCTGGCAAAGGTCAATTCCCCCAGAATTCTCGCATACGCTGGCATTCTCAGCGTCGGCATCTCGTCGTCAATGCTCAGCTACCTTACGATCGGAATCATTAGCCAGTTTTACCTACGCCGATGGAAACCAGACTGGTTCGCGAAATACAACCACGTCTTGGCTGCAGAGCTTGACGGTGGGACGCAGCTTATTGTATTGATCCTAACCAATTCAGTCCTTGGCGGCGTCGGCCCGGAGGTCAAGTTCCCGAGGTATTGGGGGAAGAACTTGAACGGAAACTTTGAGTACTGTTGAGAGGTCCTACCGCAGGATCAGTGAGTATGGGCTCATTGGATCAGGATGGTGTAATAGTGGCTTAATCCTAATCCACAGTTAGTCTGCTTCTTAGGTAGGGAGTTAGTTTAAATACATAGAGTGTATATAAGTAGTTATTATAGTATAAGTTATATTAGGAGATTACTCCTAATAGTAGAAATATTATTTAGATTAATTAGTAGAGATCTAGACTACTTAATTATAAGGATACCTTCTCCTTAAGTACTTATTTATTTTTTTATTATAACTTTAAATAACTAAATTATTTATTTATTTATTTATATATTAATTATTCTAATTATTATAATTAATAAATAATCTATTAATTACTTTATAAATTATATAACCTTATATTCTATTCTAAATACTAGTATATTTAATTTAGTTTAACTTATTTAACCCTACTTATATATTCTATATATTTATAATATAATACTCTTTCTTTAGTAGTTTTATCCTTAAGGCTATTAATATAGACTATTTAAATAATAAATATTTTCTTTTCTCTTATATTATTATATACTATTATATTTATTATTTATATTTTTAAATAAAAAAT